CTGTAAGAGTTAATGTGCAAAAGCAAAGATGGAAACACATTTGCCAAATAAGTCCTGACGTAGCGAACATTTAAGCAGGCAATATGCACGGAATTTCTTCTCGCTGAAGTCCAATGTGAAAAAAAAAAAGAAACAAACAAAAACGTACACAGCTGAGCTGAAGATGCAGGCAAAGAAATGGAAAGATGAAAACAGCGTTCAGGCTGATTACTGAGCCAGCATTTGATGGAGTAATGCAGGAAGCTGCTGTTCTGCTCACTTCCTGATGACGGTGTGTTTGTGTTTGAAGGTTGCCACGGTTCCATCGGCCCAGTCATTGCGTCTGCTGGACTTTAGCTTCAGTGACTTCGAGCTGTCCGACGCTGAAACCACACTCGCTACCATCCGCATGTTTGTTGACCTTGACCTGATCCAGAACTTCCAGATGAAGTACACAGTAAGAGCTGAACAAGTTTTCTTATTCAACAAATACATCAAATGTTTCTGTTGGTTTCAGCCAGCTTCCTGCAGCAGAGCTGACTTTTAGAACTGTTTCTTCATCAGACAGTAGGTACAGTATATTCTTACATATAAACCTAACTAGTAGAGCTCAGTAAAGCTGCAAAAAAAAGTGAAGACTGGAAAATTGTTCTCACTTCCCAAAAATGTCCTCACCTTGATTAAAACAGATGATGATCCTCACTTTGTAGAAGAAACAAGTACACACCCTCATGTACAGCCCTCATGTATCACTGCTGTCTGTCAGAAGCCAGGCTCTCCACATCTGGTCCTGGCTTGTTGCCAGCATCCCACTAACATAGATAGGCAGGTTTCTCCTCTGAAGAGCCCCTTGTGTGTTGGTGGCAGACCTCCACCTCCAGAGTGCATAGGGATGTAGAGTGAGGCAATGGTAAAGCTCTTTACACTTAGATCKTTCYTACACACATTCACACACTGATGATAGTAAGTTACATTGTAGCCACAGCAGACTGACAGWGGTGGGGTGGCCATGCACTGACARCACCAGACCCCCTGACCACCACCAGGCAAGCTAGGTGAAGTGTCTTGCCCAAGAAGACAACGATCCCACCATTAACCCACCAATTACAGATAGTACAGCAGATACTTGTAACAATCTTTCAAATCTGGAAACAAGCACCAAAATTTGCATGTTTATCCTTCATGAACRGCTTGTTAGAAAAAGAAACATTAGCCACTCAAAATTTCAAACTGGTCACCAATTTTGGCTTAAGAAACACATTTTGCCACAGAATTGGACTTGCTGGACCTATTTGGATGATTTTGGTATRGAATCCTATGTCTCTGATCATGTAGTAGTCAGTTTTATAGCTTTGAGATGTTTTTAGGGGTTCTTTGTACCATTTCTAACCAAAAAGGTGAAAAAAATACACATAAACCAGAATAATTACAACAAAACATTTATTATGTATAGTATACCAGTACAAAAATAATGTTCATCTTSTTTCACATTTAGTATGTACAAAAAGATTGTTTGGATATTAAATTGGCCAATCTAATTCAGCAACATAACATGAAATCCTGAAAGGTTAATGTCTACAGCACAGGTGTCACCAGTCCAACATCACAAGATATTCAATGTATGCTATTACCAGTCTACTTTAAGACATTAGGTCCTTTTGTTTTTGCYTTTGTCCCCAAGGTGKGTTGGAACTCCTACACATRACATCTACAGCTGCYTAGTCCYGTACAGGTCAGACCAAAGCGGTAGCATTTGCATTGTTCATTGCATTCTGACTTGCATCTACACTTGGTCAGTTGCTGACAGCTCTCAGCAATYGATGGAAGCTCAGTCCAAAAYATCTGCCACAAATCACCTTTCTTGGTCCAGCCCCAGTCAGCAGGACTTTGTGTTTCTGACTGGCATACCGTTGACTGACTCCATATGCGGCCTGACTAGTAGGCAGCCCACTTCACATGCTGCAGTAGAGCTGCTCAAGTAGGAGGAATGGCCTTGTATGGTCTCTGCTTTRGAGAAAACATATTTAGCCTGGCATTATSAACACCATCAGCTGTACTGGACCTGTCATACATCATAACCACAAACTTCTTCAGGGTCTTGAGGTCATCATCATCTACTGCTGGTTGTTACTGGCTGAGTTTGCTGAGGACATGTATTGGCCAAAGTCAATCCACAGCTTCTGCNTCCTTTTGTTTTTGCGTTTGTCCCCAAGGTGCGTTGGAACTCCTACACATTACATCTACAGCTGCGTAGTCCGGTACAGGTCAGACCAAAGCGGTAGCATTTGCATTGTTCATTGCATTCTGACTTGCATCTACACTTGGTCAGTTGCTGACAGCTCTCAGCAAT